GCAGCAAGCCCTTGGTAAACTTCACTCCTCCACTGGCTGGAGTGAAGGCCATTACTCCTCCGGATAACAAGGCCTACCAATGCCTGAAGCTCAATGTGGATTATCTCACCTTGGACAGCGAGCTGAGCAACGTTGCCCCTTTGCCCGAGAAGACTGTCTCCTTTTCGTCCGTCCCAGGCTACGCAGTAGATGTGCAGCTGGGTCCGGCAGACCATCCTCCTTCTTTCGTCCAGCCTCACCCACCGTACAATGTCTACCGTGCGCCCTTGTACCATGCGCGCGAGCTGACAGGGTCAGGTGCCGAGAAGAGGACGTATCACTTTGACATTGACGTCACCGACTACCCTGCGGAGAGTGGAAACGTCGATTTCATTGTGGGCGGCGCCATTGGAGTGTGTCCTAAGAACAAAGAGGAGGAGGTTGATGACATCTTTGACCAGCTTGGTGTTCCCAAGTTTCTCCGTGATAAGAAGATCGTCGTGCGCACTGAGAAAGGCCGCTGGCCTACCATCTGGGGAGACGACCAGCCCCGGGAATTGATCACCACCCGGCGGGAACTGCTGAGCTGGTGCTCCGATATCCAGAGTTATGCTCCCAACAAGGCTCTGTTCCGCCTACTCGGCGAATATGCCAGCGATCCTAGCGAAAAGAAGATTCTCTTGTTCCTTTCCTCCGCCCAGGGCCAAGGTGCTTTCTGTGACCTGCGCACCAGCTCCCACGTCACCGTCTCCCAGTTGCTTCACGCATTCCCTTCCTCTCACCCTCCCTTGGATCACCTTCTCTCCGTCCTGAATACCCTCATGCCCCGCTTCTACTCCTTGTCCCAAGATCCGCTACTATCGTGCAAGCAGAAGGGCTCCGTGACTCGGCGTGTGATCGAGGTTGCGGTAACTGTGGCCGAGTCGGAGGACTGGAAGGGAGGCCTCCGTACTGGTGTGGGATCTGGGTACCTCGAGCGCGTTGCACGTCGATTGATTGACGCTGAGAAGAAGGGCATCGACCCGCAGACTCTTGATCTCCACGTACCCATGTTCCGAGGCCTGATGGCCAACCCTCTAGCCAAGCGCTTCGCATCGGATGGCCCCATGCTGCTTATCGGAGCGGGTGTCGGCATTGCTCCGTTCCGCGGTTTCGTGCAGCGACGCCTGCAGTCCGCCAATTGTGCAAACAAGGTTTGGGTGCTGCAGGGTGTTCGCGACTCTTTGCTGGACGAGCTCTACCGCGGCGAGTGGGGTGTCGAAGAAGAAAAGGTGCGAACAGTCGTCCAGAGCCGTCGCGGCGAGAGCAAGTACGTTCAAGAGGAGGTTCGGAACCAAGCTGATCTGGTCTGGTACGTGATCAATGCTTTGGACGGACGTGTCTTTGTCTGTGGTAGCGGAAAGGGCATGGGAGAGGGTGTTGAAGCCGCCCTGGTCGACGTAGCCATGGCCAAGGGTAACCTTAACATGGAAGAAGCGACGTTGTTCTGGGAGAATAAGAAGGAAGCTGGACAGTATATTGCTGTAAGTGTGATCTGCCGACTCATTTTGAACATTGAAACTAACTCCCGAACCAGGAAACATGGTAAATCCCATGAGCAACATACGAAGCTAGCCAAATTGACTTTGGCTTTACTGCGCCATGCTGTGCAATCTGATGCACTGACTTTGCATGATAAATCCACAACATACATGCTTTGCTACAACTTTCATTTCCATTCGAATCTGTATGACATCGATCATCTTGCCGGGTATCTTGATTTTAATATTGCTTTAGCGGGAATGGTTTTTGCTTGTTTTGTTTTCGATATCTTTTGTTATACTTGTATCTACGGTTGATCCGGGATTACCGTCGAAGAACGGGATGGGCATGATAGATTAGTACTTACCTGGTAGCGATACCTAATACATGGGTTGTGTACAATTTGCAGAAGCAGGCGTAGAGTATAGTAAGCAGCCTAGCGAGATGTCATTGGCATGTAGTTGAGTCCGTCTTAGTGGCCTCTGGTGATGGCCTTCGTGACGAATATAAAAATGTACTAGTCCAGTAACAGCCATTCCATACCTGATGTACTCATGGTACTCGCTCTTTCTCATCTTCATCTTGATATACTAGTAGTATTACTATGAATTAATTTCGCTCAAGTGAAGCCATAACTATGATGTTGGTCTGCTACTACTTACTACGGCACTGCTTCTAGTACAAATATCTATATATATATATATGTATGTTACATATTCACTGAACACCAACTACCATAACCACCACCACCACTACTTCGTACCTATCTCCATCTCACCACTTGAAAGCATCAACTATCATATGAAACCAAATCGACCTAAAGCAGCAAGCAATTTCACCCCCTCCCCTTCAGCTACGTTACTAACAGTTACTCGCTGGAACCGCCCAGTTGCCCGTGGTGCGATGAACAAGTTTCAATGCCATGTATGTCACAACAGTCACTACTACTTTTAAGTGCTGATACTATTGGTGATGGAATTAGATAAATGTATATATAGTATATATATATATGAGGTTATTAGAAAGTATTATCGTAATTCAAACCGAATTCGGCCAGAAGAAGTCAGACACTTCCGTAGCACACCCTAACGTTTTTATCAGCCCTAACTAGTAGATACAGGCGGTACGTCTTCGTGTAGACTATATACTTTCTCTCTATTCATGTATATACATATATATATAGATTGATAGATAGATAGATGGATAGATAGTGTATACAGAATACTAAAGTAAAAACCTCAGAACTTCTTATTACACTCGGTATAGAGACAGTGAAGGGAGAAATATAAAAATGAAGAACTCTGCTTCATTATCTTCCTAAAGATACATCAATAGATAAATTTATCCTTCCTGGCACCGGGCATATATCTAGTTTTCCCATCTTCTACAGTGGTTCATAGTTAGCAGCCGCGGTGATCGAATTCACTACACCTTGTACGAGCATGCAGTCGAGAAACCTCTCTCTCAAATGGCTTTTTTTTTGATCTTTTGTAGGAGTGTCATCCAGGGTGGTATATATATATATATATACAACATCCACAATGATACTGTACCTCTCTCACCCTCTCTATTTCTCTCACTTTAAGTCTCTTCAATAACTCAATCCCAATTTTCGGGACAACCTGACTAGTTCCTAGCACCCAGGTAAGTAAGGCTGTGGTTTATATGGCATTTAGTATTGATGGTTATGTAGGTACTAAAGTCAAGTCTAATAGTAAACGATTAAGAAGAAAGAAAACGTGGGTTAGTTTGGAGTAGGTGGTATCAAGAAGGAATTGGCCTTTTATTCATCAAAGGAGATTTTGATGGGGTGGTACTTATTTACTGTTGTCCCTGTCGATTTGATGTCTATATGTGAAGATGTTGGGTATACGTGTGTCGAAGGACGGAATGTAGATAAGACGGATTATGAGGAGGAGGAGGAGGAGGAGTTATATCACTGGCTATACTGATTAATTAAATTGTTGTTTAGATTGTTGGATGTAGTCTGTAGACTAGAAATCTTGCTTACTGATGAGTAGGAATTATCTTTTGCTATGATAAATGTTCAATTGCCCGCATCTGGGACGGAGAGGCGTCAATGTCACGTAGTATCCCATCTACTACTAGTTATATAGTAAGTTCAAAGTTTATGTATGTGTACTACAATTGTTGAGTTATTGAACTGGTGAACCAGGGAATGGTACTCAAACAAGGTTATATTACTTAGTAGTTCCAAAGTAGTAGGTAGTATTCACTCCGCGATAGTTTAGTGAGCCGTACATATATATAAATGATCTAGCTACTAATTACATAGAAGCCAAATCTTGTACGGGTAAAGTTAACGTTCTGTGAAGGGAGGAACGGGGAGGTATCTAGTGGACAATGTATCAAGGGATAAAGCCAGATCGGACAATAGACACATTGTCACGCAGGGGGCTAATGTCAGATGACTGCTGGCATAGGATGGCAAGGCTTAATAGAGGGGTAGTAGTAAAGATTGCACGGCGCATGAAATGGTAGGTAAAAGCTCCCCACTCAGATTGCGTAAGACCCCTGAAGGCACATATATGCAGGTTGGTTAGTGTGTGTGTGTGTGTGGCGACAGACAAGGGGCAATGGTTGGTGTGTATACAAAGTTGAACTATCATAGTTGTATAACTTCGAAGTGGGCGGGTTGTCAGGACAGGAATCTCGCGACCAATGTCGTATAACCAGGCCTGGTGTTTACCCCACCATATGACTCGCAAAGGCAACTCTAAACCAAAGCATAAGCCCACTCGGTGTTACCTTTCCATCAGGGCACAAGCCTGGACCTGGTCTGGCCTGGCTGACTTAACCTATCCCGGGACATGTGTATCTGGTATGTTCAACCCGCCAATCAGACAGCGCCGGCTACTTCTTCCTACCCATCAGAAGCCCCGGTGAATCAAAACAACTCTTCAAGTTTCACTCACACCCATCAGATGACACGAGCCAGGAGTCGTGAAAGGGTGCTGTGGATAGGATCATCGCGCTATGAACATCCACCAGGCGACAGCACGCCAGGCAGCAAGAATCCCGACATGGCACCCACGTCATGCCGGTACGTCTCGCGACGAGACATGCATTTTTGAGTTTCACGACAGTGTCAAATCTAATACATATCACACTGGAATAGGGCAAGGAAACGAGGGATGAATTCAACGGCGTAGATAGAGTTATGACCCTTGTTTCAAAATCGCTTCGGGCTGTAATGCGAAACGTTGGTGACGGATTCAAGCAGGGAATCAGCTGGTGTCTAAATAGAAACAGTAGGGTTTAAAAGTCGATTGGTCCATCTGTTGGTGAGGAATATGATGGCAGATTAAAGGACTATACAAGCATAGGTTAATCAATCATTCAGTAGATTGAATCGGAGGATGCCGGAATTTGGCCCCCGAGAAGTCTGTATCCCCTTTCGGGCCCTCCTCCCCCCCGGACGCGGGCACGGAATTTCAAGGGAAACCTTCTCTGGGACAACATACTTGGAAGGTTACTAACGAGGCACATACAGGACCAGAACCATGGCTCCCGACCCACTAATGCACACAATGTCTGGCACTCATCCCTAGTTTCCCATCCCAAACACAGAACAAGGGAGAGGGAAAGAGAGGGGGAGAGGAAAGGGGAAAGGGAGAGAGGCTGAATAACGATGCCATTACTCCATAATGCTCTAGGAAACCGGGGGTAGATACTCACCCCAATCGCTTTTTTTGTTTTCCCCCAACCACTCCGTTATTTCGATCGCTAGTTTGCATAAACAGGAACAAAATCACCCCACACCAATGCAGCAGCAGAAGCGCGATTCCGACTTTCAAACAACGGCCGTCATGTCTATTTTAGGCAGGTTAAACCCCGGAAGAAAAACAAGTCTGAACTGTGCAGATTGGCGCGGTTGATCACAATGCCATGCTGTGATTTTCTGATCAGCAGCAGCCGTCTCTATCATAGGTCGATCCTCCGCTCAGCCAGACGAACTGATGGGGCCGAGAAGAAAGGGGGGCCATTGGCTTAGGAGGTGGGAGGCCAGAACCCAAATAAGTGATCGGACACGCTGGTTGCCGCAGCAGGAATATGGTGCGGCCTTTCCCTGCCATGTTCTAGAAGGCCATTGTTCTTTTTTTGGGGCGGGGAGGAGATGGAGATGGGGGAGAGAGGAAGCCCGTGGCGGTCCATCTCTGCTGGGGAGTAAGTAGAGTTCAAGGAGGAGTTTGGTTACAGCCTCGGGTTAAGTTTGGGGCTAGTGATAGATGCAATAGAACCTCAGGCTATTGAAGGCGCCATTCTGAACTGGGCAGTTGGTACCCGCGAAGGAGGCGCCCCAAAACGGGGAAAACCTCGGAGATTTCTCACCGTCAATCAATGCATCAGGAAAGTTTTTGGAGAAGATCTCGTGGGCGGCGATGGCGGGTGAGACATCCTGGAACCGGGTATGATGTCAGTCGCGTTCCCAAGGGAAAGTTTGTTCGTTTTTGACTTACTCCTCGCATGAAGGTGCCAGCATCTGAATTGGACAAGCCATTTTGAGATGCAGCACAAAGTAAGGTGGTGATACTACTGATATGTACCTTTTATGATAATAAAGTCCATTCTGGGTTTAATGGGGTATCTCTTTTCCTTTATCCAACCTTGCCCTACTACAATCACGGGTGACTAATGAAATATCAGATAGAATAATAATAATAATAATAATAATAGTAATATTAACCATCAATTGACGGGGATTAGGGACTACGTACAAAGTTAGGTTTATGTGGCAGACAAACAATGGTAACAATGCCGAGGGACGGGGGTCAATTCAGGTAAATCCATTGTCTCCAAGCGAGCTACTTTACTACTACGTACTACTGACCTAAGAATCTTACTTTACTTACTCCGTAACTATTCATCGACTACTGACTAGCATCTTGGCCCTGTCAGATGCACGACCCTTTAGTCCGTTCGCGATGGATGCCGATACTGGCCCGTCAGGCGGATCCCAAGGACCAGGAACCAGTGGATGGTGACACCGCAGACAGGGGGGGCGATGGGCGATGACAAATACTGCCTCCGAGTGGACAGTTTTTCTTGCCCTCCATCCTTCGGCTGACTCAGGACGCTTGCTCTGCCACAGTGTCACAGCCGAGCCGGCTGGGTCAGCCATCCCCATCTTTGAGTGCGCGATCCATAGTTGCTGGTCTAGTTCTTGACACTTTCCCACTAGATCGTCTGTTGCGACTCGTGCAACTTCCGTTTCACCATCCTGGGGGAATTAAAAAATTTTGTTTTAGATGAACTGTCACTGAGCAGTCGGAGTTTCCGAAGAGCGGCAGAGTCCCAGGATCATCATGAAACTGCTTGACCCGCGGTTGCTTCGATCTCTTTTCGCTTTTCTTTTACGAGAAATGTTCCTTAATTTGTTTCCCTTTAGAGATCTATTCAGATGATCTTGTATGTACTTAGACTATACATAGACATCCGGGTGATGGCCGGATGATCGGGGGTTGGATTGGTCTGACCTGCGAGATCCAGGCTGGATCTACACCTTGCTCCATTCCTGCATGATCTGGGATCTGACAACATATTTTTTCTTGGGGAGGGAAATTAAAATAATCAAAAATGTAAGAAGATAAAAAGGCAGAAAAGCGCTAACCACTAGACTGAATCGGGCATTCCGCTGCAGGTGGCCGCCCCCCCCCCCCTCCCGGTGGCAACAATAGGGCCTGTCATTTTTGGGCAAAACTCAGTCACCAGCCTCTTTTGCCCTGCTGCTGACTGCGTCATCGGTGGCTGATGTACGCGCGCAGCCACCTTTTCTTTCCTAATCGGGAAGTCTCTCATCACCCCTAGTCCCTATCGAGCACAAAATAGTTCACCTAGTCTCAACTCTCTCGCTCTCACCGTCAGAAGGCCGCCCCCTCAAGGGCACCGGCTCAATACGAATAGTTCCATTCCTTTACCGCTATCTGCTATACTACCAACGACATGCACTAGGTAGGTCATGGATCTCTCGCTAAACACCGCGCTCCGTCGCCACCCCCTTCTCTCGGTGAATCGTGAGTCCTGCACGACTAACCAGATCGTAAATTAGTGTTCACCCAGATCCTCTTGCGACACCACAACGGGCACGTTTTACTAGTCAATACTTCATACTCCATACTGGATACTACTAAAGGATTGCCCAGCAAGGCCAGCAGAAGCTCTTCCTGTTTGGGAAGGAGCCCGTGGTATGGAGACTGGACAGACTGGGTCCTCCTGCGATTGAGGCTACCCTCCCATTGACAAATCATTCCGCGACGAATGCAGCCCTGATCTGGCAAGCCACGAGGATCGCTCCATTTAGGTTTGCACGCGAAGACCTGACGGGCTTACTCGGTCTGGTTACTTCAGCGCCATCGTTGGTCGTTAATTATGGGTCAGCCACAGACGAAACTTTGACCGTCTGGCTGGTTCGTACCGAACTCTCCTGTCAATTGGCGCGGGGCAGACTGCCAACTAGAGAAAATGAACAATGCTCTTTTCAGATACCACCCCGGAGATTAGTACTGTCATCGCTCAAACTTTGCTTGTCATGATTCGATGTTTCCGACTTAGGGTTTTGTGCTTGAATAGTCGGGCAGATGCCGAACCTCCGATCTCAACTTCGACAAAGTTGCCTTAAGCTTTGGACTAACTTAAGGCATCAGCATCAACTTTGGGCTCGCTGATCGTAATTGATTTCGACATCCTTCCCCCAAAAGTGTCTGACACCTGGGCTTAACGTCTTGGAATGCAGAGCAGCGGCGCTAAGAGAGACAAGAGGAGCAGACCGTTTATGGGCTTCCGCATTACGGACATGGAGTGGAAAGTTTAGTAGATTTCTCTGGGATTAGACCTTTTTGTGAAGATTTGCGGACAGATGGCGTCAACAAACTCTGACCGGTCTCTGTTAGCTCGCTAATATTGGGTACACAGTAGTGCAAACCGGGCGTGTGTGCGTCTACACCTCCGCTCCATCTCCCTCTCACTCACTCACTCTCGGTCTCGCTCTTTCGGACGATAAGGATGAGACCGGGAAGCGGATCTCGTCTAGTCTTGTTCAGCGCGCCACCCATGGGAGTGGTTCTGATCTGTCCCCACGATAGGAATCCGTGGGACCAACACGTACTGGGTAACCACTATATTTTGTCTAATCACCATTGCGACTCGGTTGATGCCAGATCCCTGGGATGGAGTACACATCGTGCACACTCCCGCTTGGCTTGGCCCGTGACTGTGTCATTTGTCATTTGTCATTGGATGAGGCGGTGATTCTCCCGTTCCAGGGGGAGGAACCAATCAGCCGGGTCGCTTTTCTAGAGCGACTTTTCCGATCGTCCCACCGGTGGAGTACGTCATGGGCTCGTGACTGGCGGACACGCCCAATCCATCCCATCTTGACACTAAACGCAAATAAGGATTGCGCCCCGTTCACACTAGACTAAAAAGTCACTACTACCGACTGTCAACTCGCTCCATTTTTCAGCTCTGCCATGTTCATGTTCTCTATTCGTGGCGGGATCCAACCATTGCCCAGACTGGCCCCACTGCCCACTCACCGTCCACAGTAGACTTAAGACTAGTCCATCATGTGTCTGGGTTTCTCATTGTCAGAAACTATTAATCAGTGTACCATGGATGCACACCTCGTCCCTGTCATCGCTCTTGTACTCATGTGGTTGTCATCCCTGAAACTGGATCCTAAACTTTCTCTCCTTTATTCCTCGGCGGCTTTTTCCTGGATTGCCAGAGCTCTCCCGAACTTTGGATCCAACTCCTTCTCATCCTCCTCGTGCGCGGGCGCTGCCCGTCACACCAAAAGGGGAGGAGGAGAGGGGGGTGTGGTTCGGGATCCAGACAATTTACAACTAATTAATCCCACTTTATCGCAATAACAGTCATGCATATCATTCGTTAGCAGAGGGCACTAGGTCCAGTATTGGACTCTCCGATCCTAATTAAACCGAGTCATTCCCAACTTTTGCATGGACCTTGCTTGGTCGCGGCCGACAACATCACATCAACCCTTGTAATGAATCCTGATTCAATCTGCCATACAATTTTTGCCCCTCTAATCGCGGCATGTCAACCTCTAATACCCACCTCCTAACCGACAAGCTGAGATGTCATATGCACGGGCAATGGATCTTGCATAATATATGGGTAATAGTGACCAATCATCTCCTAGCCCGTACTCGTCTAGATGGCATTGGCTACCGACGTTAGTCATGTTACCTAGTTAGTTACTCAGACCACGCCGCTACGAAGGGATAGACGGAGAGGCTAGTAGCCACGCTCGCTATAGAAAGAGAGGGGCGATGGGGAAGGAGACCGAGTGACCCTGGAGGGAGAGAGACAACTGTAACTGACGGTATTGAACGTGAGGCTCTCCTCTCCTCCCCGAAAATCGGCAGCAGCGTTAAAACCGGTGATGAACAAGGTCACCCACATTCAAGCCAGGTGGCTCTAGTCTCCGTCAATAAATACGAGCAAGGTTATCGTGTAGTGTGTTACTTACCATGGGTCTCTTAAAACCGTGGAATTAATTGGTCAATATTACTGGTAACTGACTGCCGTTAAAAACGGACAGCGATGGAAAAAAACTGGGAAGACAGGCCGACGTGGATCTTCTGACCACAGATTGCAGCTCATCTGGAAAAGCAAGTGGGGTCGGGTCCATGGAAAAAGAAGAACACTATTCGGCGATCAGCCCTTCCTTGACCCGGAAGTTGGGACCTCTACTAGTCAAACCCGATCAAGGGCCTCCTCCTCTCTTTGCTGCTGCCGACCTATGACCGACCGAATTTAGCTTCTGATTCTCTTCTGTCATTCAGCTAAATTTCCCCGCTGTGGGAATCCTTCGAGACTCGTCAAAGACTCGTCATGAGAGAGCACCTACCACTGGAGTTGTTGATACTACTACTACGTATTATCATGATCGATCTCGATGAGATGAGACCATCCAACCGGTCGATCGGACTTTAGACCTGCCTAATTACCTTGCAGCGGGCGAAACGCCATAGCCGTCACAATTTATAGTAAGTAGTGTAGCAATTCTGCAAGGCATGTTAGGGAACAGGAAATTTGTGAGATGGCGTGGGCACACTCGCTCCTTGTCTTGTCCTGCTGTACAGTGTTATTTATTAGTGTGGTTTATTCAGTGGCTTTGATTAACTTTCATCCTAACCGTCTTGAATCTAGGCGCATACTGTTTGGGGATAAGCTATGACTTGTGATGCACTTGGTAGTCTCTGCTTGGTCAGAAGTGGCCCTACGCGCCTGTTCTGACACCAACACCACTGTGGGTGGAGACTAAACCCGGCGATCTCATGTGCTAGAATTTTGCTTTTTCCTCTTTTCTTTTCTTTTCTTGACGCTCGCTTGGTTCCACCTTCTTTTTCTATTTAATTTTAATTTATACCCATCTGCCAATTCTTAATTTTCTCCCCTTCTTTTTTTCCTTTCTTGTGTGCATTTTCCTCGATTCTCCGCCCGTGATTGGCTTGGAAATTCATAGCTGAAAAATGAATTCCTCCCACACCCCTCCCTCCCCAAACTAAGCCCCGGCCCCTCTCCTGCATGACCACTAAGATCGTTTTTGGCTAGACCTGCAGCCATGCCTGCTCCGGACCGTTCCTGAGCGAGAGGATTTGCTTCCTTGCTTCTCCTTAGCTCCCCTTCCGTGCAGTACGGACTGCATTGGTGTGCCAATTGGTTGGCCCAGTTAAGTGACGGGATGGGATGGTGGCCTACATGAGAGGAGGAGGCGGGCGTCAGTCCTTTACTACCACCCTGTGCAACGTAGCTGATGAGCGACTAATAGCAAGGCTTGCTCTTAAGCCCGGCGGCCTACTAGTACCTACTACTTACTATCTGACGATTACTTATGCCTGCAGGAAGCTTTTTCCGTAGTCCTTTGAGTCAAGCACGGTTGGCTCGGTCTTGTACTACCCCCACCTTATACGGCATTTAATTAAGCAGAGACAGCAGCAGTAATTAAGTGAGACGTTCTGTACCACCTTTAATTCTGTGAGCAAACCCCGAACATTCAGCTAACATTTTTTCCCCTTCTTTCTTTCTTGCTCGCTTGCTTGCTCTCGCCACCGTAAGTCGTAAAGTTTACTCTTCGGTAGGGTACTTGTGACCTTTAAAAAATAAAAATAAAAATCAATTGCTGCCATACTTTATTTACTTGATACTAGTAGTACGATCATTCACTCACCGCAAGGATTTTGTGATTATTATCGTTTAGTTCTTAATTTTATAGTTATACTTTATTTATCTATCTACGGGGCGATCAACCATTTGAAAACCGCGGTTCCCATTTAAATACCATCAATCTACAGTTTACCAGGTAATCGAAAACCCGTGTTGTGTTTCACCGGGTGAAAAAAACTACCCTAAAAAAAGAAAAGAAGGGGAACCCGGGTCTGACAAACATTCTAGCCGACTTAGCTCGTTTCTGGAATTTTACCAGTTACGAACATGGATGGGGCGTGTGAGGCGGGCAGACACATACTCACCACTCAATCTCACACACTGTGTTGAAGGGCAAGGAGGAAGAAAAGAGGGGACGGAGGGAGAGGGGGCCCGGAAGGAGTTCCTTCCCAGTTTCAGCTTCGTTTTGTCCGGCGAGAGCCAGCCTAGTCTATCCGATGATGCCGCCAACCATCTCGGACTCCCCTCCCCCTTCCTTTTCCACACAACCCCCGACATATGATAGTGCTATTCTGAGGCTAAGTTGGCTCCTAATTAAGGCGCCCGGGGGGAGGGGGGGATCCCGACTCATTCAAAACAGGGGACTCAATTGCGATGAACTGCCCAAAAAGCAAAAATAGGAAGGAGTCTCGGAAAGGAATGGAGGTTTGGGGGTAGTTTATGGGGATGGGGTATGATCGTTTGTGCATGGTAGATAAAACATAAGCGCGATCGATAGTTGATGAGACAGGTTGGCAGTTTGATGATGAAAAATAACTGTGACTACTGTATAATACTTACTCACTTACTACTTCGTATAATCCCTGAAGCGAGCAGCAGCAACAACAACAACTTCCTCGCACCTCGTAGACTTCTCGGGATTTAGCGCTGAATACTACTATCGCCATCCAGGTATCTCTGCCTACGTACCCTATCTAGTTAATTGCTAGACAGTCAAGGATACCTAGTACATGCATGCATCGCACTTGCGTGGGTTACTACTAGACTAACACACGGAATACGCTCAGATGGGATTTCCTGATGGCGATGGCAGACGAACTTACCCAACTGAGTAGGAGTATTTAGTATCCAGTCAACAGACAGACTAGGATGTTCAGTGAACTGTGCACACCTTTGTAACGCCACTGAGATAATCGCATCTTTTTATTTTTATACTGTATTATTCTTATAACTTTCTTTTCTTTCTTGCTCCAGACTTTTTCCCTCCTTCACCCCCTCTCTACTAGCTGTTCGACGCAGCCTCCCTGCGCCCGAGACGGGTAATCACTCCAGATCCCGAGCCCTTGGCACCATCTGTCAAGACAACTTAAGAGCGAACATTATTATTATTATTATTATCATTATCGATTTAAGGCGAGGAGAAGGATGGGGTGACCAGGAAAAGAAAAGAAAGGAAAGGTCCAACATAAAGAAAAATACAAGAATTGCATTGTTCAAAACAATCATAATAACAACAACCACAATAATAACAATGAAACCAAAAAAACATCAACCAATCATATTTTTACGCTTTTCTCAACAATTTTCTGATTGAGTGAAAATAAAAACCATTTCCTGCACAATTTCTCATTCCTCTCTTTCTCCCTCTAGTCTGGTAGGAAAAAATTAATCCCCCATCTTCTTCAGTCATCCCCCCCCCCGGTCTCTCTCCTCTTTGTGCATGCCCTTCTGAATACCGCCGAAGCAAATGACGGTCGTCTGTAGTTTGTGGCTACTGTATCCACTCCCACCCATGATCGTCGGTTTTCTTTTAGTTGGGTCTACTTTTGGCCCCCCCCCTCTCTTCCCTTCTCCCCTCTCTCCCCTCACCCATCTTTTTCCCCCCCGTCCCCGCCCCCCCTTGTTCTTGTCATTTACCCATGGGCCCTACTAACTAGGCAAGGTTTTGACTTACTGTAGTATACTAGTAAGTAACCCATGGATGGCGTTAGTATGGGACAGCTGACGGACGGCAACTGCCAGTTTACTGTGCGCGTGCGTTGGGAGGAGGACAACCAGTTTCAGAGAGAGAGAAAGCCAGATCTTGTGCCTGTCGGCTTCTCTGACTCGACGTTTCTTTTTTTAATCTGGTTGTTCTTCTTACGGGGAGGTTTCAAGGTAGGGATAGCAAGTAGTATTGTGTATACAGGTGTTATTTTTGTTTTCTGTTTATTAACAACTCCCCTTCTAAACCCATTCTTCTTCGTCTTCTTCTTCTAACCAGCGAATGGCATCATTAAATGTACAGCTTGTCTGGCAGGAAAGGATCTGTCTCGGAGTTGGACGTGCAAGGTGATGATCCAGCAGTGTTATTTGTCTCCCAGGAAAGGGAAAGGGCTAGTGTACCTAGTAGTTAGTAAGTTACTGGAGGGAGAAAAGTGAGAAAGGAAAAGAAAAGAAGAATAGGGAAGTAATTAAAAAGCGAAAAATTATCACCACAAAAAAAGGCAAAAAAGGAAAAACTGACATGAGAAGAAAATTTAATTAAAAATTGAAAATGGAAAATAAAAATCGAAGGAGGAAAGAAAAAAGAGAGAGAAGAAAAGAAAAAAAAAAGGATTGAGGGGCGACCGAAAAAAGAAAAAAGGGTTAAAAAAAATAAAAAATAGTAAAATAAAAAAGAAAAAAAGAAAAGGAAAAGAAAAAAGAAAAACGGAAAAAGAAAAAGAAATAAAAAAAAAAAAAGAAAAGGACTGAACCCCGACATCCTTGAAAGAGAGATCTGGTGTCCACCCAGCCCAGATCCAATTGTTGAGCTGCCTCACTCCTTACCTTGCATAACCTTGGTTCAGCTGTCTCCATCGTCATCGTGTGCGGCGATGTCAAGGTACTTTTAAACTCAGGCGCTGGTAACTATATTACTATTATCTGTCGCCCATGTTCCTCTCCTCCAACTATCGTCGTTCAGATTCATTATCTACGCTCTGTGTCCTCAGTCGACTCACTTAGTGAACTCTTCCACCCCTCTCCGTCCTTCTTTCGCTTCTCCTTCTCTTGATATTTACCTCATTCTTACCCCCTCTCCTCCCCGCCTACTAATTCCACTACCAATTCTCATCAATCCTCTTACTCTTCACAACCCAAGTGGTTTGACGTGTGGGGTCATAATTATTTCTTTTCTTCTACCCCTACCAACCTGCCTTTTGTTCCGTGTGGAAGCCGCAGGCCGGCTATACTTGTGTAATCAAGCCTCCCTGCTCTGGACTTCTGTTCTACCTATCATAGTGGAATAGTTACCTCCTCGGAATCCTTTTCCTTCCCTTTGGCAGTGTTTGTCTATGTCCCAGTACCGTAAACTGGGTGAGGATTCTGGAAAAATGGCCATTTCCTACGCAAGTGGACTTCCAGCGGATCATACTCCTGCTCTTCCGTCATTTCGAGAGGTGAGCCAACACACTGCGCCTGGCAAACCGACCGGTGGTTTCGCCGTAAGAGGATCAGCCAGACTAATGCACTGTTTGATAGCTACTCCCGCCTCATCTCCATGATGAGATCGAATCGACCTCATATTTCACTTCCCGCCAGCACGCGCGCGAGCGGCCTACATCAGCAGCTCATGAATTGACGTCCAATCCCCGCCCTTTCTCTGATCGTCCCTATGGATCGCCCCCGAAATTGCCATTCGATTATGCCGCCCGGTCGAGTGAACCCCAAAGCCGAATGGCTGGTCACCCGACCGACCCCATTACAGGCTCTCCTCGCTACGCTTCTCGTGGCCCCAGTCCTATTCTACCATCCATTCGGGACCTTCAGTCGCTCCCTGAACGGGGTTTGAATACATCGGGCGCTGCTTACCCAGAACCAAGGGCCCTTTCTCGACCGGACTACGCAGCGCAGGAATTCAGGGCGGGCCCGGTTGGCCCCCACGCATATCCCCCAACCAACATTCCAGGCACAGTACCGGGTGATCGGAGGAGCGTGGATTCTTTCCCAGTCATGCCCAATCAGACCGGCTATGCCTATCCCGCAATGGGTTACCAGAGTGATTCCGAACAACCGTCTCCGCAATCCCTCTCTCATGCTCAACAATCAAATTTCGGTATCCTCGGGGATTCGATTGACCCCAAGAACAAGCGGAGACGGGGCAACCTGCCCAAGCCTGTCACAGACATTCTGCGTGCATGGTTCCATGAGCATCTTGACCATCCGTATCCCAGTGAAGAGGACAAACAGATGTTCATGACCCGCACCGGACTCACTATCAGCCAGGTTAGTAGGAAATCACTCAGTCTACCAAGTCAGCACATGCTAACTAGAATTATATCTACAGATCAGCAATTGGTTCATCAATGCTAGACGGCGCCAACTTCCTGCTCTCCGGAACCAAATGCGAAACGGCGGAAACGACATTGACTCTCAAAGACAATCTCCCTTCAGTGACATGGACCAGACGTCCCCGGAATCAATGCCGTCTCCTCACCAAATTGTCAAATCATAAATTGCCTTCGAGCACGATTAGGCACCCCCGTTGGGCCGAACATCGTTCTTGATGCCACTTCCGCAAGATACATCCAACATTTCATGAGTTATGGGGCCTCGGGATACAAGAACCAAATAGACACGAGAGTTCGCCACCACACCCATCTTTAATCTTTCTTTTTGATCATCAAAGAATTCTACGACGAGCCGAGTGAGATGGACAACCGCTCTTGATACCCTCTACCGTTTATCTAATCGACTTTATAATTATCGTGCATGGCTTCAACATTACAGGGTTTATGTGGCTGGGAGCACGGTTGGGAATGGCAGTTACTGAGATGTGCGGTTCCTCACCTGTGCGCCCTTGCCTCCCGCATCATGGCTGCCTATTGCGATATTGCATCTTTAGGTGTTTTTGGTCATTTTATCGGCTATCTTAATTTCCTATGTTCTGTCTTTCTATACTAGATCAACGTGTTTCCTTTTGTTCTTTTGGCGCGCTTACACTTGCAAATCGGTTGTGATGGGTTTCACTTGGAGATGAGGATCAAGCATATGCATGACTTTTTGTACAGTATAAGTACGGATGATGTGACCATGTCAAGTTAGACTGTCTTTCCTTTTTATTTTTTGCTTACAGTTTTTGGGAGGTCATCTCAGGTTTTGGAATTAGACAAAAATTGAGAACATTGGTTATTACCCATTTAGGCTCCATTTTGGCAAGTCCGCATTGACTCGCACTTTATCTCCTTTTCTTACTCTTCTTCATTTACCCTTTTCATACATTTTCCGGCCCTCCTTATAAGACAGACCATGGTTGGGCTGTTTAAGGTTCCCCCATCTCACATCCGGGCGGTACCGTGCATTTCTGGCATTCGTCACAAACCCTTACCCAAGGCTGCACTGTGGCTTGACGGAAATCCATTGGTGCAGGTTTTGTTAGGCCCACCACCGCATGAGGAGATCGTTCGAGGAATGGAGGAGCCAACTCATTCTCAGATAGTCCCCTGGTGGGCGGTAAGACAACCATGGGACCGCTCTCGCACTTCTGATTCGGAAGATCCATGGGTTGAAGACCATTGTGAGACGCATGCAACATTGGAATCGGCCCACCCTGAAAGGCCACTCATAGCCTCTAGCCTTGCGGTGAGCGCCGGAAAGGACAGGCGGGAGGCGTGCTGTCACACGTCATGAGAAGAACTACAAAGGCCTAAATTTTGGTTCCGGCCAGTCGGGACGGCTTGATCGCCAAGTGCCAGTTACCGAGAAGTGCGCCTCGTGGATAGTCCAAGCCCAGTTGTTGCAGGGAGGCCGTTCGACGTCGTTAAATGGGCGCTGCTGCTTGTCAAGCGTTCGGACTCCCAGACGGGCGCGAGCGCTTTTTGCTATTCGGCCAGCTCTTGCGGTAAGGCGGCCTTGGGATCCTGGATCACCCGAGGAGGTCATCTTGGACGTCTGTGCGGGCGTACGTAGGTCAACCCTTGGACTCCGTATCAAATCGTACTGAAAGGGAGGGGGCCGACCCATTGTCCGTCCATCAGGTCTCATGAGCCACACGCACACACGCAGCGCTACTGTTGCATGGAGACACTCGAGGCTGGTCTTTTTGGGCCCCTCTTTTTTCTTTCCCAACGGTCACCGGCACGGAAATCCCTGCAAGCCAGAGACAGGCGGACGGGCGGAACATGCCTCCGAGACCATTGGAAAAGCAGATCAGGCTTGTCGACTGTGGCACAGGGCTTGACCCCAGCTGCACGAAGCACGGGGGAGGAGGTGAGGGAGAGGAGAGGAAACGATTCAGAAACCAGGATCTATCCGATCTATCACATGGCGGTGAATCTGGCTGCCGCGCATGGGGATCCCAGGTACTCCGGATGTCACCTTTCAAAGTGAGGGGGGATCGCTCGGATCAAGGATGGGCGGCATTCTACTGGAGGAGGGGGGTAGGATGCTACGCAGGATGTGCCTTGACAGGAACACAGCTCGAGTCAGGGCCTGCTTTGACACGACAGCTCAACGGTCGAGGGGATGCAGATGGGCATGAAGAAATACGAAGAGGTATTGCATGACACCCGTCCTAGCCCTGATCCCCGACCAGAAGATGAAGACAGGTCGGCAGGTCAGCCGGCCTATCACCCTGGACTTGAAGGTTCTTCCTGTATCTGTACATGCGACCGACCGATTGCAAGTCCGTCGCAAAGTATTCACCCATCGATGCAGCGAAAACCTGGAAACCACCCAGCTGCACCCCACTTTGGTGCGGCAGATCTCCCTTTCCCTAGGATGAGGAGAGAGAGGATCGACATCGAAGGTCAATAATTTAGTGCCTTTTGCTGAATATTGTTGGCTCTGTGACTGCTGTACGATTTAAATCACCGAGCATCCCCGCCAGGATGCCGCGGATCACTTTTCCCACCCCCTGGCCGTGGGATATTATCTCCACGCTGCAAGGTGTGAGTCAGTAAGGAACTCCTCGCGGCTTTATAACTGCATTAACCGGTTGGGAGACCCCCACTGCGTGCAAGAACCGCGATGCCTACAGAATCGCCTCGCCACAGACGTACACCAGCCACAGGCCTGGCGTCAGCGCCTAAAGGAGCATTTCCGGAGCCTATCGTCTGTACCGGGTACATGGGACTATGTACGAAATGTAGGTGGATATGGACTAATGCACGCGCCATCCCTGATTCCTCCCAACCAATTCAGGGCCATAGCCCTTCCCAGAGCTGCGACATGTTATACCACCCATGGAGCTCTGCCCGATCCAGTCCGACTGGAAGGCGAGTGTGCAACGCTCGGTCCTCTTAGCTGCACAGTCGGGATTGTCGTCCCTTGACGAATGACATCTCAGAAAAAACTAAGCACTTAGGCACCTAGATTGCATTGCCTGACGGTCTGACAGGCCTTTCCCCTCCCTTCATGGTAAGTTTTTACCTGCTGCGGAAATCCGAGAGATCATTTATCGGGCGGAAGTAACCACCGACAAGGACCAAACTCACCACCCCTCTGGCGTGTTTAGTTGGCCGTCATGCAAGTTCGCATCCTGGGAGCTAGCCACTACCCACTTGCATGTACGTCAGTCACGGTGGCTTGTGTTCGTACCCAAATGCAATCCGGGGACTCGGGATTTGACATACTGATACAAGGCGATCAATCCGTTGGCTGGAGTCTTGGCCCAGACTCTGCTCTGGTGTGGGGGTTGAGTGTCGTGTGTCTGTGTGTGTTGTATGTGCATATGTGCACTCAATGTGCGTACGTATACCCCATACCAAACCGACATATATGCACACATATGTCGACATGTCTGAGGCGAACTGCAAGCTAGATCTGCAGGTCTCCCATTACTTACCTGCCTGTCTATCTGTATGTGATATGGTGGAGGAGCTCCTTTCTAAACTTACTACGTATGACAACAGATTCATATTGCATCTTGCTGGCCCCCTTTTCCTTTCTCGAATTAGAAATTTCTCCTTTCTCATTCTTGTCCAACCCTAGCCCTACGGGCGCATGCTATGGAATGCATGGATACCATGGTTCATTCAGCGCCCTGTGCGTTTACTCCTCATTTCCTAGTACTAACTCCCTGCCTCCTGAAATCTTACAAGAGTTTCTGCTGCTGCTACTACTAATACTACTACTGCATCGCTGATTTCTCCCCATTTGCATGCGTGCGCTGGCGCCTATACCATGGTAAATAATCTTGGGACCGCCCACCCCCCTCCCCTCATCTCCATTCCCAAACAGGCAACGACCTACGTGTTATAGCTTATGTTGTGTGATGAGAATTGATTGGCCACTGTCAAGGTGACACACATAAGCTGGATCATTTATCCGACTGAGACACGAGGTAATGGGTTTTACCCTTGCCAACTTCGCAAAACCAACTTTAAAAACCTGGACAGATACTAGTTTATGGAATTGGGTTTAGTGGATGTTTGTTCCTCTCTTCTCTCCCTTGATTTGTTTCCTGGGTTATCTTGATCTTATAGGGTATGTAGTTCTGCCTTTTTTGGTGGAGAAAATGAATCTTGCTTTTTTGGGCAGGAAACTTTGTTGTTGGCAAAGTTAGCTAGCTAAGGTAGCTATTTGGTTAGCTAGATACAGTAGTTCTGGCCCTTTGTATGTTTGTGTGGGGCATGCAAAGGGATGGATGGATGGATGGATGGGCATGATGGTAGTAGTACTCCGTAGTAGTGATGAGGCTCTGCTCAACGGTTCTCTCTTCTTACCTTTGTATTGTGTAACGTAGAAGATGTCGGGAGAGAAAGCTTGGGGAAAGGGAATGGAATGTACTAGGATAGTGGTGGTTCGGTTTCATGTGAATTCCATGAGAGTTGTTATGTAGGGATGGTTGAGGGATCCATTCATCGAACTCATCCCGCTTTCGGCTGGTATTCGAAGTCAGGTTGGGTTCATCCAGATGGAGAGTTGTGTTATCTTATCATCTGTGGTGATATAGCATGTTGATGGTGGGTTAGATAGATAGCACGTCTGTCTGGATGTCGTCTTTTTCACTACCCTTCCCTTACTTCGATATCAATCAGCCTGATATGGACCAATTAATACTATCGCCTAGTTTGAATGGAATAAAGTATATACGTACTATTCTTCATGGCAGAGTCCATGTTCCCGAGTTAGCTAGCTAGGGAGGAGAGGACAATTAGGCTCATATTCGCATTCTGCTTACCTTATTGAATATTTCCAACCGGATAGGGATAGTAGTTGGATATAATTGACTAGTTTACAATAAATGAGGGAATGATATTATTAGAAGGTTCTTATTTCGGATAAGTGATCACAGTGACAGTAGACTAAATATAGAGGTTTGTGACCTGATCGGTAATGTGCATAGTAGTAAATGATATTATTTGCTCACCCTATTATTACAGATTTGAAGAGGTGACTTGCTCGTCGATAAAGAGGAGAGAAAGGATAAGAATTGGAAATGTCATTTATTACGAGGAGTTATTTGGATTTTGATGCCATGTAATAGCTCGATATGATGGGTTGAGAGTGTTATCTGTACGCAGCACTTTAGAGGGTCTCGAGAGCTACTTAGGTACTATTTACTAGCCCGTTTGGAGGTTTCAATAAGACTTGGCTGGATGGATTCTTTGATTGATAGCGTAAGCTTTTCGATGTATTAGGGGTATGGGTTTTTCTGTTTGGTGTGGATTACGAATGTTGTTAAAGTGGTGGATTAGTAGTTTGAAGGAGATTTAGATGGTCGCGTTGAAGTGATGGGGAGATAATAGTGATGGTAGTATTGAAGAACTTTGGTGTCAATAAATATATTAGATGATGAAGTCTTTTGTTTTTGGGCTCAAACTATAAGTATCTCAGTGATAGACTGGTCTTCGTTGGTTCTACGTTGATTATGGTGGCACATAGTATGGGATATCAGTGGTGCTATGGAGGAGACAGGTGCCTCTCTCATATCAAAAGGGGCTAAGTTTGACTACCAGGTATGGATCTTGTCAGTTTAGAACGTCGATGGGTAATCATACGCCCTGATCCAAACGAAAGCGTGGTGTATAAAGGAGTATCTGTATCACATGCGATGCTGCTGACGAATTCTGCGCTAGATAGCTATGGCATAGGCATATGCAATGTAAAGGACTCGGGCCGAACACACACGAATCGCGAAATCTAAGCTTATCATAACACTACGGCGGTATACCTGTGCCCCTATCGCTTGCGGGCATCAGGTACCGGGTAAGATCGTAAGCGTCACTATAGCTCACTTGGACCGGCCACGAAAATAGGATAGTCTCTGGCCGACTATATTTCTGCTGCTGGATATTAGATTGGCGCCACTTCACTCTTAACGGGTATGCACATCCGGTTGACACCGTGGAAACAATTGCCAGGGTCCAATAGCGCTACCGGTACCCGAGAATGCTCGGTGCCACCCGGGAAGGTATCAGCAGTTGATAGGGCGACTAACGAGCGAAGCCTGCTATCCTATAAATGTTAGTGGCCCCGGACATATGCAGGCCTCCGTCTGGGGTCACTCTGAAGAGCCAACGGCATATCAGTGATTACCCTGTGTCAGGGTAGCGCGGATATTGCATCAACCCATCCTCGATCCGGGATACATGAGTGGCCATGTGTTCTTCTCGACTAAATGAGCATAATCCAAGAATGGCCAATCATACATCAAGTCTGCTTGGCTATGCCACTTCTATCATGGACAAGACAACGAATAGGATCTGGGCTAACCTCCCATGCTGGACCAATCGGTCATGACACGAGGCAGCAATTCTGCACGCAGCCTGCGCTCCCGTTCCTGGGTCCATCTGAAAGCGGTATCGGATCGGTAGTCCGACGTTGCTGCAATGGATGAACGTGTCTGGCGTTGTGGACCTTCTCGAACTGGCTAGAAGCCCACAGGGTCATCGGTAAGATTCCGGTTCGCACAAGGTAGTGTGCAGTACGACTAAACCTCCACGGGCCCACCGGTCTTCGGCATTGTTCTGCACGCGTCAACCAGAAGGCCAAGCTTTGCTTGGCTATCTGATAGTCCGACTATCATTCCTGACTTGACAAGCGCAGATGTACGAGATTTGCGGCGTGATCGACGCGAAGCCCGTGGAGTCATCCCGAGTACCCGGGTTATCCACTTCCCGTACATCTGAAGGCGGATACAGTGATGGCAGACGCTTGGTTGCGAGCTCGGAGAGGCGTGTCTTCGCTAAGGAGAGAGAGAGGAAGGAGTAATGCTTGGTTGTGAAGAACGGACCAGGGTGTAATTAACCCCTATGCAACCTCAGCTACGGAGTTTGGCAGGTACTCCGGCCACGATGCCGTGTCTTGCCGCTGAGCCGACGGTTGCCGCTCGTGGAGTTGACCTGTGGCTAGGTGCTGTTTCTTGTACCTAATTTCCAGACATGTTATGGAGCACTTGGAAGGGGCCAGGGGGAACCGTAGCATTGACATATATAAAGTGGACACCATCTGCTCTTCTTGGTGGATGTGATGCTTCAGTTGAGAGCAGAAGTGACTTTGGATGAAGAAAAATGCAGAGGAAAGTTGCTTGACTGCCAAAAAAACGCCACCAGATTTCCGGCAACGAGCAAAGCAGACAAAACAGACAAACTGAGCCAAAGGCGTGACCGGCGATCATGTGTCTACAAAGAACTTCCTGGATCGTCGCTGCCTCATCTTCTACCAGCTCCCCTCCTTTACTTCCTCGGCATACTCATGAACACATGCCTACGATTGTCAACTCTCAGTCTGTTCCTATCAACCATGTTCGCAGGGATTATGGTCTGGCCGTTGAACTCCCCTGAATATCCTGCCTGAGAGCCTACGTCTTCCGATGACGACGTGTCTAGTGGCCGAACCGTCATCCGATATTAACCTGCAGCCGGGAATAGCCATGGACAGACGAATTCAGAGGTTACTAAAACTTAGCGTATGAGGTGAGCAAGGATATACTCGGCGTTCCTTCTTGGGCCTTCCGAAATCAAAGCCGCCGAACAGTTCATTGTGATATTAATAAGCTGAGTTAATTTAGCTGCAGGTACGGCTTCGATAAGGGTGGGATACGGACGTCTACGACCTGGTGATTCGGAGATATCCGATTCTCAAATGCCTTCCAAAAAAGAATATGTTCGAACAATGAAGTGGACTGGATTACGGAGAAATTGCCTCTATCGTTGGTCTCTCGTGTCGAGAGTGTTCATGGCTAATAACGTTAAAACATTGACACATCATTTCATGATAACTGACAAGTGAGACATGTGCCACTCATTCCCGAATGCAACCATTCTATCAGGCCAGTGGGGAACGCACGGCTAGCCTTGTCGACCTCCGATGGTTGGTTACTCCCATCAGAGTTTCCTACTGGACCATCTCAGGAAGGTGGAAAAGCAACTTGGAATGGCACCACTCACCGATACAAAGCGCACTGTTGGTTGCCATTTTACTTTCCCACCCCCTCACGCGCCCTTCTTACCTACTGGCGCCTGGAAGTGGAATCCTGGAGCAGGAGAGAGGAACGGTAAGTGGCAAGCGCTAACCAAATTGCGCCTTGTACTATGGAGCCGGCGCTGCGAGCCGACGCGCCCCATTCCCAAAATGACCTAACGGCCGTGATGCCGAGGTTCAGGGTGTCCCTACTACTTGCAATGCTTAACAGCAGACGGAATAATATTCAAGCCCCATCATTGCACTTGTCAAAACTCAAGAAGCAGCAGGTTTGGGCCTGAAGCAAGCCTAGATTGCGATACTGGTCTTTTCTGCGAAATAACTAGTTACTAATGAGGGCTTGCTGATTCGCTATGGTGTATGTGATATCTGTGTCGAAGGCCCCAGAGAGCTCGACCACTCCCTCGAAGACAAGCCTTGCTCAGACAACCCGGGCTCCACCGCGTGCTGGGTCCACCACTTCTGCTGACCTTAACGCGGGTGCCTGTCGATTATGGGTCAACAGCCAATGTTGGACCGATATGCCTCCTCCGTCCCGGATTGTGAACATATGATAAGGAATGATGTGATAAGGAGAAAAAAGACGGTATGATCTAAAAGCATTGTACGGACATAACAACATGAATGGAGTGGACCAGTAGGAGCTCCGCCATGATCCTGGTGGCTCGAATCATTCCTGAGGATCCCCCACGGGCTGCTGTTGTGGAAGACGCCTGGGCACACTGGCACCACAAACGCTGGACCTGCATAGATTATGCTTTTCTGGCTTCGGGTCTAGACATGGATGTGATAATATCAACGTGCATCCTTGCTAACAGTCCAACAATAATCCCGGTGATAGCCGCCACGGCAGGCATTCTATGTCGCATTGCAGGATGCGCCGTTCAAGTGTAGAGATGAGACAAGAGGAAAATTTTTTCTCTCCTTAATGGTGGAAAGACCATTTGAGGAATCTTATAAGGTAATTACCTATGGTCAGTCGCTATGGTCTTGTCGAGAGAAACTCCTTCTCGTTAAGATCTACATGATCGCTTTTTGGTTTTCCCTTGGTTCACGCGGTTACTTTCTCCCCGTCAATCTCCAACCGCTGTCATGCCTGACCATCAATTTGCAACGGATAAGGGGAGAGGAGAAATTGGAGGAGCGATCATAAAAAGCTAATTTTGTTTATTACTATTATTATTATTTTTTTTCTAATGAGGGAAAAACGGAAAGAAAATAAAAAAGGAAAAAGAAAAGCCGTCATCAATTCCAAAAGACCATCAGCCAAAGATACACGCGAGTTACTGACCTTCTTATCCTGGACTTCCGCCCGATCCATATCTTCATGATAAGCAGGGAACCGAGCAAATCAACGCCAAACTTCAGCGGCAGTTCCTCACTAATTTCCCACTTTCCACCGGCGTCATTTTGGTCCCAACCCCCCTCCCTGGAAGCAGCGGGATTTAGTTACGATCCGGTTTACATCGGAGACTCGGAGAATACCATAGCGCATGCCAATCAGACCCCCTGCCAGGGTGACTGGCCAGTATCGCGACCCATTGTTTCTATCTTTCTAGAAGACCTGCAGGGACATGGATTGGCTGGCTGCTGTGCTGCCGTCATTTAGCGTCTACCCCAGGTCAAGAACGGACTGGACGGACCCATAACCAATCTAACCAAAGCCAATTTCGTCAATTCCCAGCTGGCAAGCACAATCCCATTTCCAGGGTTGGCCGCCAACTGTTAAAAGGCACTATTCGTCTCTCCACCTGCCCGCCCCTCGATGGCCTGCGCGTAGTAACTATTCTACTGCTTTTTTGCCTCTTTTGCCCTCTTGGTTTTTATTCTACCCTACTCTCCAAATTGCCTGCCATCAATTGGTCCAAATTGGACTTCGTTTGATGACATGACTCGCACCGTGGACGAGATCAAATACGAGACCCCTTCTTCATGGGAGCACAAGAGCTTGGACGTTGCCGAGGATGGCAGGCGACTAGCTCCCCATTCCGACACAGCTCGTCCGAAAGGCCGGATACGACGATCCATGACTGCCTGTCACACATGTCGGAAGCTTAAAACAAGATGTGATCTAGATCCGCGCGGTCATGCGTGCCGTCGCTGTCTATCTCTAAGGTCAGTAGCAACTCATACCTGCCATTCCGAATTTTGTTTGTCCTATTGGGCGCGACATGAATTTAGTCGTGGAGTGTAACTGTCCCGATTTTGCTGACAGTCCACGATTTCTTTAGAATCGATTGTAAGCTGCCAGAAACGACCGATCGGTTCCAAGACAGTGCCGCAATGTGGCCAGACGCCACCTCTGCGATTCCCTCCATTGAAGAGCGCCTCACCTCCCTAGAACGATCCATGAGGGAGATGACGGGCATGATGCGGCAGATGCTAGATCACTCCCCAGGTTTCGCAAATTCTTCAATTCCGCACTTGACAAAAAGTATCATGACGGATGATACTGCCTCCATGGAGGGAAGCCCGTCGTCTCCCTTCCTGCCTAAACCCGTTCGCCTCATTCAGGACCTCCAGTCCGACTTCTTCGGAGAAGCAGAGACTTCTCCCGTTGACTCTCCCCTCTCCAGTGACGGTGCCGCCAAGGGCGCTATCGACTCCAAACTATCCCTCAAATTGTTGCAAACGTATGAGCATACCTGATAGACAACTACCGAGATAGCTGCTAATACTTGGCGCAAATCAGGTTTGTCGATCACTTCGGTGCCTGCGTTTCTATTTACAATCTCTCCGATATCCACAATGACATGAAAGCCCCCGACTCTCTACTGTATAATACTGCATGCCTTCTAGCTTCACGCTATGTCCCGGGGATACCAGCGTCTGCTGTGCATGCTCTATATCTTCAAGTGCGGCATGCGGTAGCCAATATCTTGTGGGAGAAACCTCCCCTGAAGTATGAGACCCTCCAAGCACTTGCACTTCTCTGTCTCTGGCCAGCAACCGCCCAGAAAGAGCCACCCATGGACAGCTGGCTGTTGAGTGGCATCTCAATCAACCATGCGATTATTGCGCTTGAGTTTATAAACTATGCGCCCTCGGAAGTTGTGGTGGACAATGAAACGGCTGCGCAGCTGCGGTTATGGAATACATATTGCTTGACACAGCTACAGTGGGTTCCACCTGATACCTCCTGTCCCCAATATAGCTAACACGCATTAGTTTTGCGGTTGGAAATGCGCGTCCATTCCATATCCAGCAGAGATACCTTGATCACTGCCCACGGATACTGGAGCACCCCGCAGCAACCCTGGAGGACGCCAGGGTTGTCGCGGAAATACAGCTCTATTTGATTACATTGCGGCTCCAGAGCAATAGCAGTCGAATGCGGTTGGCGGACCTTGACTATGAGGAAATCGAGCGATGGAAGAGGGAGTGGGCTCACCTTTTCTGTAAGAAGCCTGCCAGTGTTTCCCGGGGACTACCACTGACTAGAGACACAGCTGGTGAAAGTTCCACATTGGAGCTGAGCCTTTGGTTCTGCCAGACACTCCTTCACCGCACAGCAATGAGGCTTCAGCCCAGATCCGACAGGCTCGCATCTGAGGTTCTGCAAACCTCACGTCTGATCATATCGCGATTCCTCCAGATCCGGTATTCTACCGCATTGAGCCTTGTCGACCAGGTATACTTCATTGTCGGCTACGCTGCTCTGAATTTGTGTGATTTCAACCTCATGGACCCGCTCATCGAGCAGGTGCAGATGTTCCTGCTGCATCTCGCGCCCAACGAAGACCACATCGCATACCGGTTTTCGTGCATGGTCGCCGAGTTCAAGCGGCGATGTAGCAGTGCGGAATGCAGTGATCCGTCGTCCACGGTCAAAGGGTCTCCGTTATCATCCTACGGCGACAGTCGTAAGATGAGCATGGGTCAAGCACCGTTCATGCCACCGCTCATGGATGGCATGATCGAGGGGTATGGCTTCGAGCAACTGATGCCAGAAGTCATGCCGAGTTCTTTTCCGGATGGGATACTCAACGGAATGCCTGTGAGTGGGCTAGCAGCGTATCGGTCAGCGACGCTGTAAGTAATTCAATGAGGTCAAGCAGGAGATGGACATAGGTGGGGTGGGTATGGTAGTAGCAGTAGTACCACCAGGGATAACCTGCCTGCAGTGGTGTGGTGATTTAGTTTCTGCCCATGGACTGGGCTGAACCTAGCATGATGACGTGCAACGAAAATGATAATATCCAAGGCCTGACACTAATCAAAGATAAAATAATATATTTTAATCCACGATCCACCACCGGATCCATCAGGTAGTTAGTTAGTTAGGTTGCCTTCCTGCACAGTCCTATTTAGTTAGAGGGGCCCGTGCCACGAATCATCACGTAATTGAGCGAGTGCCGCTTGCTTTCCTTGCAACTGACAACAGTTACCTTCACATGCCAAACTACTTCTCCTACCACAGACCACCAGGCTGCAGTAGCCCTAGGTAGCCAGCCACCATTTCCTAATCGGATAAATCTCCGACGTTCTTCCTATCCCTCCTATTCGGACCGTTCCGTGCTTCCACGGGAGGACAACAACAACAACAACAACTGCATTCCATGTCATTCCTCTCACCCAGAGGGAGAGGGGAAGAGAGGGGTGCGAGCAAGGAATCAACCTGTACACTACTATTGTCAATTTAGTACATTTTAGGAAATAGTACGGGTTAATCATCATTATCGAAGAGAAGATGGATAGTAAGATAATTCCCCGATCGATCGGAGTAGTAAGTAGTAGTAGTATGTCTTTGACCCCCCCCCCCCCCCCCTCTTTCAACTCCATTCCACTTCACTCCCCTTCCCGTATATGATGATGATGCGGTGGCTGCTGCACTGCTGCACTGCAGTACAGTCACTCACTCACTCACTCACTAAGGAACGAGGTACTGAGGAGGAGGGGGGGGCAGTGGGAGGGGTACCGAGGATTACTACTGACAAGTTATTCCCTTAAGTTGATCACTACCTCACTATCTATCTAGTATCTATGCACAGAAAGGAGGTGAGAGAGTAGGGGGAAGGAGAGGAGGGTGTGTGGTCATAGGGATAAACTTTTTTGTTCTTGTTCAGTTAATTAATTTAGATTTTTGTTTTTTTGGAGTAGAGTGGTAGGTTTAGTTAGTTGGGTATTATCATGTTACTAAGTGACTACTGTTTTGGGGGATTTAACAGGATGATCGATTTGATTGATTGATTGATGCTGCAGATAGTAAGTAAATAGGTTGCTGTGCTCATCTCGCTTGCCCCGCCCGTAGATGAGTTGTATTCGGATGAAGATACTCGATGGAGGAAAGTAGGAGTTTCTTTTTCTTTTCCCTTTTTTTTTCTTTTCTTTTCTTTTATATTTTTTTTGGATGAATAGAAATGGTCTATGCTTGTGTGCAGTGGTTGAGATTGGTTTTATTATTGGTCTGTTGTATAAATTGGCTGGTGTTGATGATAGTAGTAGTTAAAGTTTAATCCGTTGTTTCGTGTGGTTGTAGTAGTGACCGACCTAGGCTTTAGGTTTCGGTATTACTACGTCGGTGGTATATATTTTAACCACCGTACATGCAAAAGGACATGGATACTACTTAATCATATAATATGTTCTTGAAGAATCCATTACACATAGAAACATCCAATCGCCTACTAAAATAAAGTAATAGGAGAAGACACACTGAGACATTCCCATCACGTCATTATAGCAAGAAGCACCTGACCGAAAACTCTACAAATCACTGTCAGCATCTAGATCACGATCATGGGGTTCTCATCACCTAGCGAATGATGCACTTACACAGTGTAGCTCAAGAACAACATTACTCCCCCTGCATGCTTGAAGATGCTTATCGCGGAACCTGTGCGGATGTATCAATTTTCCAATTCACAAACAATGTATGTGAAGGACACGCATGTAAACATGGACTTTTGAAACAGATAGGTAGGAACTAACTGCAAAATGAGCTTCCATTAACCAACTTATCTGCGGGATAGAGGATCCGTGGTAACCCGCTCTTCATGGGGACTGGCACCGAGCCATTTGAGTCGACTGTCAGATTCGAGCAGGTATATATCTCCATGATCTCTTGACCGGCGGTGTAGCCTGTTCCCGAGAGGGAGAGAGTGTACGAGGATCCTGAGGCGCCGAGATTGGAAAGGACCGTGATGGTTTGGGTGCCGTTGTAGCCTTTGCGCATGGCAAGAGTCGAGGTGTCTTGGTAGATCGGGTAGTTCTGCGATAGAGTTCCACAGTTAGATGCACTACGCAACGCAAGGACTTAATGGTGGCTCACTTTGTAGGTGAGATATCCGCTGTCTTGGCTTATAGCGTGGGTACGGATCTTGTTCGATGTGGCGATATGCGTGTAGAGCTCGCTGGTGGTCTTGTAGCCCGAGAGCCACGTCGCTTCGCGGTTGTAGGGATCATTGCCCCCGCTGTAGTGCTGTTCCTGACCGGCGTATATAATGGGGATGCCGTCGGCTAGGATGGTGAACGTTGCGGCATTTTTGGCCAAGGACATGTCGCTTGTGTAGCTTCGGGGGTAAGCTAATGTGCTCGTTACGATGAAGTTGGAAGGGGATGCTTACTTGGCGAAGCGAGGGTTATCGTGGTTCTCGACGAAAGTCCCCAGAAGCGTAGAATCTTTGCAGGTGGATTTAACGGTGTTGATCATGTTATAGAGGTCGCTGATACTGCCGTTGGTGGATTCGAAAGCCCGGAGGAGTGGATAGTACCTATTGCAAGTCATTGGCGAGCATTCATTGGGGTTCTATGTAGGGCTTACATCGGGTAGTTGAGCACTCCGTCCAAGTCGTCCTGATAAGGACAGGTGTATGCCGCGTCTCCATCGAAGACTTCTCCGATACAATATACGCCTGAAGCATTATTGTAGCCGGGCCAGAAGTTCTTCTGAACGTTCTTGACTGTGTCTATACGGAGGCCGTCGACTTGATGTCTGTTAGTCTTTGTCATAAAATTGATAGCACATAGTGAAGCAAAGGTAGGGATACCGGAGTAGTTAGAGACAAGCGACTCGACCCAGTCATACCACATATTCTTCACATCCGTACGGGTAGTGTCAACATCCGGCAAGGCAACGGTGTTGTCGCCTAGCCAGCAGTCTTCAACATTTGTCTGATTATCGTAATTAGAGATCCAACAGAGGTTGTGAAAGTACTTTTGCGAGTTAAATGGTCTATAGACACTGTAGTCCACAGAGTTCCCCGTGCCATTGTGACCCTATCGTTGTCAGATATGAAGCCAACTTCCTGGAGGACTGAGAACATACCATATGATTGGCAACGACGTCCACCATGAGGTACATGCCCCGTGAGTGAAGAGCTGAAGCGAGAGCTTTGAGATCGTCTCCTGTACCATAGTGGGAGTTGAGGGCGTAACTGTCTGCATGGTAAGGAGGAAATACATGCACTGGGGCGATAGGAGTAAATCTCACGCATCCTGCTGCCAGTATCCGTGATATGCCTGTCCGTAACCAGTATCTTGGGGGATTTGTTCAGTTACTGGTGTAATCCAGATCGCTGTAAAGCCCATTCCTTGGATATAATCCAGCTAAAGAATGTTAGATTCCCGGACTGGCGTTGATAGGACTAGTGCTGCAACGATGATGGACCGACCTGATTGATGATGCCCTGCCAGGATCCACCGCAATATTGCTACGTTTGTCAGCGGGTCATTTGCAAGATCTAGCTCATGCTGCGACTAACCCGGGCGCTCAAATCACATGAAGCAGTGGTAGAATTATCGGTTCGTGCAAAGCGATCGGTCAGCAGGAAATAGATCGACTGGGAGCGCCATTCTGCTGGCGTGGCTGCCAGAGCACTGACCACGAAACTGAGGAAGAACAGAATCATCATCATTCTTCTGGTCAGTTTCTCTAAGACTATAACTATACTTGAGGAGCAATTCGATCTAATGAAGAGAGGATGATATGATTTATACTAGGCTATCCAAAGCCGGTCAGTTCCTTTGGATTGAGTAAGGCCAACATGACAATGTGAGTTGTCACTTTTTATCGGAAGACTATTCGACGGGTCCGATCCCAGCACTCTATAAATAGCGATTACATGCGCCTCCGTGTCTTGGAAACTAGGCTGCCTATTAGCGATGTACCCGGCCGTCAGCTAGATGGGAATGAAAGACTTCATCTATGAACGGATAAAGATGCGGGGGAATTCCATCGGGCCCTGGCGATCATGGGTGGATGTCGTTGACTGGTAGGGTTTCTCAGCGAATAGTGGCCACAGGCCGGCGGTTTCCTTCCCGGCAGCCTTGGCAACTAGTTACTATACAGAGCTGCGCGTCAGATAGAGTACCTTCCCGGGTGACTCGTTGCTGGGTGTTGTCAGGCCCTTTTACAGAACATAGTCATGCAGGAATGCCGTGGTGGGCGGTAAAACAAAGGTTGATGTTAAAATTTGAATTCTAACCAAATACCTACATTGCAGGACATTAACTGCCCTACCTATCTTGCATGCTGTACGCGCACACCTGGCTTGTGTCTGGCACTACCATTCTAGCACCCAGTTCTCCGCCCATGCGCCGCCATTCGTCAAGTTCTGCAACCCCCCAACGAACAGAACCTGCGACGTGGAGTTGTATGTGATCGATCCTGGCGATACTGTCTTTCCATTGAGAGTCACCGCAGAGGGCTCCTTGTTCACTCCGAGCACCGTCACATTAGCAAGCGGGTTCCTTTCTTTCCATTTCCCTTGCGCTGACGAGCGCAGGCTTGACCGTGATGCGGTGAAGCCCACACGAAGCGTGGCATTGGGATAAATGCTCTCCCCATCATCGAGGTAGAGCTGCCCCGACGCGGTTCCGTTGCTTCCTAGTGCGGCGAGCAAAGCCCAGGGAGTTTGCCGGGCTTCACGAGTGGTCAATGCTGGCTCTTGCATCGGCAAGATGTTTCCACCTCGTACATAAACCGGGATGTGGCCCAATGGTGCCGAGATGGTCGTGTTAACTCCGGGCTTCGCATCAACGGCAGCCTGGGTGTACCAGTCGTACCACACTTCGCCATGTCCAACCCCCGGGAAT